AGCAAATTCCTCCCAGAGGACTGGAGAGCATGGGGAGGATTGTATGGGGGGAGGCATCCCTGAGATAGCTTGGACCCAAGCCACCTTGTATTGGGCCCGGAAGCTGATAGGCAGCCAGTGGAGGGACCTCAAAACCGGGGTAATGTGGTCCCTCCTAGATGTTCCCGAGAGAAGCTTGGCTGCCATATTTTGTACCAGCTGTAATTTCCGAACCAAGCACAAGGGTAGCCCCATGTAGAGCGCATTACAGAAATCCAGGCGTGAGGTTACCTGGATTGTGAGGTGGTGGGATTGAGAGAAGCGACTCCCTAAAAATCTTAGAGTTCAAGCAGGCTTACAGGGGAAGATACAGTCCTTCAGACAGCATGGGCCTGAGGACTTTATAGATCACAACCACCACTTTGACTATATTTTATCCATGTCCAGAAATCTAAATTGTCTATCTTTTTCTACCCTGCTTCTGTTTTTGTGGTGTTTATGCTTAATTACCTGGAAGCCTCTTCCATTCTGCTCCTTGCATTGAATCATTGGGCCTCCATCTCCTAGTTATTAGACTGACTGAACATCTGTACAGAGAGATGCTATTATCTCATATTTATGTCAACAGGGTTTCCTCACGCTGGAATATTTCCATGGCTGAAGGTTTTAAGATGCCTTCTCATACATTTTCCTCACATGAAGTAGTCAGCTGAAATCAGCAACGTTGTTCTGTACCGTTGAAGAACCAGACCTGTTGTTTTGGGATGAAATCCCATGAAGACTTAACTAGGCACTCCAGAATAATCAGAAGACCAGTTAGAAAAATATATATATATTATCTACAGCTGGAAATACACAAATAGACAGAGCCAAGAAAAGAAGCAGTCTGGAATGTATCAAATTAGGTTGTTTTAGTATATATGGGAATAAGAGGGGGAAAATTGTTCTTGGACCTCTGCAGGTTATAATGTTTCCTTAGGGGCACAGTGCAGAATAGTTTCTCTCTAAGACATGTAACCTACTTTTTCTTTGCACAGTTTGCCCTCTGTATCCACGGATTCTTTATCCATGGATCCATGGCTTGAAAATATTTTCAAAAAGTATATATTCTAAATAGCAAACCTTGATTTTACCATTTTATGTAAAGGATGCCATTTTACTATGCTATTGTATTTAATGGGATTTGAGCATCCATGGGGGAAACAGCCTTTCTTATTCTTTTCCTAAGCCCTTTGTTTCCTGGAAAAAATGGGGAAAACTGTATTTACTGAATATTTTCTTTAGAATGATGAATAGAATATCTAACACAAATTGTTCCTAAATTCACTGCCAATGCATACACATTATTTCTAAAAACTATGTGTCAGATAGACTTTAATGTAAGACTACGTGCGGTATGTCACATCATGCTCGATTTTTAATTGTGTTAATTTATGTTTTAATATGAGTATTATTTAATTATTTTTAACTTGTGTAATTAATGTTTTAGTTCTATCTTTTAAAAGTTATTGTAAGCCACCTTGAATCCCATTTTGGGAGAATGTTGGGATATAAATAAAAAAACACAATAAAATTAATTGTTGCATTTCTGGGTTTTATTTTTATTTTTCTCAGTTCTTTTTACGGGAATGAGTGTGTAGATTCATCTCCTTGATATTACAGAGGACTAAAGGAGGCAAAATTGTTTTCTTTATTTTACTAATGTTGATGGTTTCTTTTGTTTTTATGGGGGAGTGTTTGCTTCTCCTAAACTGATAAAACCAAAGAGTTTCCTCATAGTTCAGGATCTTGTCACTCCATTTGTTAAATAAATAAATACATTTTTAAAAAGCAAATTCCATTTATTTTCTGAATAAACTGCTTTTAATATATCAGGCATAATACATTTATGTCAGACCAAGTAACACATAATGCTTTGTATGTTCCTAACATAGCAAAGTAACTTTAAATCTGTAAAAGATGCTAATGTTTCATTTTTTTTCATGTTTTCCAAAACTTTTTGGTTTTTTCTGAAAAAAGAAAAAGAAAAAAATGCTTTCCTTCCCACAGTGGCTTCCCCCACCCCAAAAAATAAACCAGAAAAAAGTGTCCCCTCTTCTAATGACATCAAAATTTCCAGAAATTGTACATTTCTAATTCCATTACAAACGAATACAAAATAGTGCACTAGGCAGAGCAGAGGTAGAAAGCACATAGCTCTCCAGATTTTATTAGACTGCAGTTTCCATGAGGTGGAATAGCTAGTGGTATCGAATGATGGGAGTTGTAATCAGCACCTTCTGGGGGACCACATTTTTGTTCCATACTGGATAGAGGCCACATTCTGCAGTTTCACCAGGGAGTGAGACCCCCTTAATTGTGCTGACTCTGAGCATGTATAGGATTTTGATTGGATTTAGTCTGAAAGTTCCTAATTGACATCCCATCACCTACGGATTCTGGGCCAAAAGGCCCAGATTCCCCCCAACCTTGCCTCGCCCTGTTTGGAGGATGCAGGCCAAAACCCAGGGAGCAGGATCGAGCCTGATCCTGCCAAACCAGACATGGATGCAGTGGATCCAGTCTGATCCCAGGGCAAAAGAGCCTTAATGCGGGTCAAATTGGAAACTTTGCAAGAAATCTTGGCTCTCCAGACAGCCCCATCTGCCCTTACCTGCATTGTCGGTGCTGAATCTAAGTAGATCCCTCATTGCTGCATCTCACGCAGAAACGGGGTGCCTGGCTATGTGATTGCAGCCAGGCATCCCGTTTCCATGCCAGATGTGGTGATGGGGTATCTACTCACATGCAGCACTGATGATGGAGGTAAGGGACCTGCAGCAGTACCAGATCCATGGCACAGGGACAGGTGAGCATATAAACACCTGCCTGTCCCTGTACCACTCCGGAGACTGATCTAGGCTGAACCTAGACCAGGCTGATCCTGTGCTTTCCCGGCCCATCAACTCAGTCCCCTGGTGAGCTTTATGGGTAAAAAGAAATTTGTATTCCTCTCTCCTTGTTCTATCTTCTTTCAAAGAATTGTTTGAAAATAACATAGGGAAACTCCATCCACATTGTCATAAACACCTTGGAGAGAGGAATCGGTACAAGGATAAAAATTGAAATAGCTGGCTGAGTCTGTTTTAAGGTGAGAAGACATAAAGGAATCCAGTAGAACGTTTGAGACTCAATGGGAAGAAGAAATTTCCAGTATAAGTTTTTAAGGACTCAGTTCATTACTGGTAAATCTGTATTTGCTGCAGTAGACTGGGTCCACAAAAGAATGTTCTTCTTCTCACTTATTAGGCTGCATCTACACTAAAAAA